TCCCTATGGGGCCACGCAGCGTACGAGGGGTGTGCCGACATGTGTGTGGGGGACGCATGCGGGTTGTGGCACTGGGGCCTTCGGTGGAGCTCCTTACGGGGCCACGAAGCGTGTGAGGGATGTGCCGAAATGGGTGTGGGGGACGCATGCGGGCTGTGGCACTGGGGCCTTCGGTGGAGCCCCCTTATGGGGCCACGAAGCGTGTGATGGGTGTGCCGACGTGGGTGATGATGCTTGTGATGATGATGGTCGTGATGATGACGATGATGATGATGATGATGATGATGATGATGGTGATAATGATGGTGATGACGATGATGATGATGATGATGACGGGGGGAGAGAGAGGAAGGGGGAGGAGGATGAGGAGAGGAGGAGGAGAGGAACGCGGGGCGACGTCTTTTCAAAACGAGTTCCCAACACCACAGGATGGTCGGGAATCAGGGGATGATAGTTCGGACTGTTCGATTATATTTTTGGACTATGAAAACCTGTCTTTGATTTTTGTTGGCTTGCGCCCGAAATCCGCCTGTAGGGGGACGTGCCCGACCTCCTTGTATCCCCCCGGGCTTGCGCCCGCAAAGCCAGAGCCTTAAATTAGTCATCAACCTAGCCCTTTCCTTGGTATGATCAACTGGAGAACTCCCTTTCTCTCCGCTTCTGTTCCTCGGTGCGCAGCTCGCGCTCACCTCTGGCTCTTATCCTTCGCCCCCCTTCTCTATCCTTAGCCGCTCCCTGCTCCAATTGTCCGTCAGTCGCTTGGCCCTGGAGGTGGCCATCGAGGCTTTGGTATCGGACCTCCCCTCCTCTCTTCTTCGCCCCCACCCTGCGCGACTGTCCAGACCGTTGCGCCTCCCGCGAAAAATTCGCGAGAGCCGGGCCCCCCGCGAAAAATTCGGGAGAATCCCGCGAAATATTCGCATGGATCCTTCGCGCCGTGCGCTGTCCTCTGAGGCGCCCCCCGCACTACCTCGCCGCCGTGAACCACCCCTTGGGCGGTTGCGAGGGCTGTTCCCGCGCGAGACCTCCCCGGGCGACTCGTGCGGGAACTGAGCGGCGGGGACCCCCATGGGCGACTCCACCGCTCGGACCGACACCCCCCCAGGCGAGTCGGCTCGCTCTGGAACCCCGCGGGCGATCTAGGACCCCCGCACCTTCCCAGGCGAGCGGGGGCGCCTACGGGAAAAAAACACCCGCCGAAAAACCCAATTTTTATAGAAACGGGGGCGATCCGCGCCGGGGCGGCAGTCGAACCCCCCCGGGCGATCGACCGCGGCAGATCTCTCCCACGTAAAAAATACACAAAATCACACAACATATCACACACACACACAAACACACAAAACACAAACAAATACCGGACGGAACACCAACAAACACAAAAAACACACACACACACACGCACACACACACAAACATTATTAAATTATGGCTCTGGTTTTGCACACCTAACCCCGGGCTTCACGTCCCCCTCTTCTTCTCTGAATGTGTCCCTGGCCCCCCCCCTGTCGGGCCGAACGAAAGGGGGGATAGGAAAAGGGGGGTACAAAATCTGCTGCGTGCAGCTGGTTTCGGCCCCGCCGCCGGGCCCATTCCTCGATACATGGGCGCCTCCCGGCGCCGGGAGGCGCCGGAAAAATCAGTTTCGCGAGGTGGTTCTCAAACTCACCCTTTGCTATCCCTCCTTTCGCCCAGCCTGGGGCCGCGCACGTGCCGCGGGCCACGAATGCGGACCCCCTCCTGGGCGTCTCCTTGACGGACGCCCCCGAGCCGTGAGCAAAGCATTTCAGATTTCGTAATCAAAGGGAGGGGGGCGCAGCCCTCCCAGACGAGAAGTGTTAGACCCCCCCTGACCATCCATGAAAGGGCGGTCCTCAGCCCAGACCCCCCCGAACCCTCCAAGACAGCTCAGATCAGACCCCCCCCTATGCGATCCCCCCCGCACTTGATTATGGAATCCAGACTATATAGCTGCAAAAGCGGATCCACAGCGCACGCCGGCTATCCCGCTGGACCCCGGCGCTCGACATCCCAGTGCAGTGCCGTTTTTTATACATGTTCCGCCTGCGGATCATTTATTAGGAATGCAGTGTTTTAGTGTTTAAAACATCGATGAGTTCATGCATAATTTCATTCATGCATTAATCATGTATTAAAATCCTATATGTTTCAAAACCATATGTATTAAAAAAAACTGCCCTGTACGCAGAACAAAATGCGCACGATTTTCCCTTCACCGGCGCGCCGATGAGTCAATTCGACGGGCGTTTGGTTAACAAACGCGTTTACCGCGAAGTTGGCGGCCTTGCATTGGTGGAGGCGCGGTCAAAACGGTTGCCCTCGGCGATGAACGGAGTGGCAAAGCCAAGCGAATGAATGCATGCGCGTAAGTCTCTTACAAGCTATTCCCGTTTCCTCAGCGTTGGAACAACGGCTGGTCAAGCACGGGATGTACGCACCAGCGCGAGTTGCAGACGTGCTTCTATCGTGTACGCGCGATTACGCGCACGCGCGTGCACTTGCAACTGTGCGCACACGCATGCACACGAACACGACCAAACGCATGGTCGCACGGTCACGCGAGAACTTGCGCACACGCGCGTCCACTTGCGCACGCACGCGCGCAGCCGCACGCAGACGAGCACACGCGAAGCCATGCCCACTCGCGCACGCATGGGGAATTCGCGATCACGCGCACGCGGTCGCGCACTAATGCATTGTGTCCTCGACGCCGCAATAAGGAGGCAACCGCAGGTAAAGTGGCAGCGGGATGCGTGAACGCTAACAAGTTTTGCTCGAAGCGGCCTACGTGCAACAGCGCGGGAAGTCCAGCTTATAGACATATTGGGCAGGCAACTTCGTATCAGAGCTGGGAGCGAGCAGAACAAGTACACAAGCACACTCGCTTGCATTTGGTCCTCCAACGCGCTGATGGAAGCTGTCACCAGATCCATCAATGGTAAGGTTGGCTAAGCACAATTATGTTGACCACCCTGCGCAGGACTGCGAGCAGAGCCTGGGAACCTCGGGAGATGTCGGGCGTAAGGGACTGCCGAGCGGCGCACAAACCAAACGAGTGTTGGGCGAATGGTGTGTGGCGAGAAAAGAGAGGCCAGGCTTAAGTCGGGCTTGTCCCTGTACAGGGGGGACATCCAAAAATAGTCAACAAGTAATATGGGGACGACTGTTTGATTATGTTCTCACTATTTTTGAATGTTGGTGTCGCATGTTGGATTCTTCGCTCGAAATCCCCATGTAGGGGGACATGTCCGACCGAAGGCCAGGCGTACAGCTGTGGAGGTATAGGGTCGGATGCCGACAGAACGCTGGCCGGAAGGCTTGTCAAAAACGGCGCCGACACCCGCCAGGGCCTGGCAAGCGAAGTAACCTTAAGTCGGGCGTGCCCTGGCACAGGAGGAATATTCCCAAATAGTCAAAAAGTAATATGGGTACAATTTGTTGGTGCTATTTTGGTATAGTGTTTGAGTGGTTCTAACTTTTCATCCAAACCCCGCCTGTAGGGGGACACGCCCGACCTACAAGTATCCCGAGCCCGCCCACGCAGTCATCACAAACGAAGCAGAACGGCTTCAAAATGTGAGCCAACGCGGGCCCGAAACGGAAAGTTCTTGCAGTGGATGAGCAAGTTTTGCGGTTCAAGATGTGTTGCCGCGTACATGGTGAACGTTGCGGTGTAATCTACGTGGTGCACGCTACGTGGTGTAAGCCAGGTGATGCAAATGATGTTTTGCAAGCTGTGTGGCGCAAGATATGTTGTGCAAGCTACGTGTTGCATTCTACCTGGTGCAAGTTATGTAGTGCAAGCTGCGAGTTGCAACATATATGGCGCAATGGACTGGCGCCACTAATGAGTTGTCAACTCCAGTGCTCGTGCGAACATCCTACCCTTCCACCTGCAAAGTGTTCAGCAAAAGCCATGCGGCCGCGATTGCGGTATCTGCTTGGCGCTGGCTGGCGCATGTCTGCGGCCGCGCTGGCGCGCGCAAGCAGTCACGCAGAGCGGCCAGCTGATTCGGTTCGGTACAATTGATGCGGCCGCGCTGGCGCTTACTGATGGGAACTCCCCGGCGCGTCTCAAAAAGATCCGCGGTGGCGCACGAGCTCTTCCCGCCTGCGGGCGAGGCAGACGGGCTGCACTGGCGATAGGGCAGAACCCAACGGGGGCACCGAGGAATTCGGATGCAGATCCTGGGACGTCAAATTCTGATTTTGCCCTGGTCCGAAGTCTGGCTCAATCCCACCTATTCCCGCCTAATCCCGCTTAGTCCGGCTTAATCCCGCGTAATCCGAGGCCCCTTTCCGGCGTAACAGCTCCCAAATGGGGCTTTATCTTCCTTAATCTTTCCGACGAAAACCTCCCAGTAGTTACCTCCTCACAGAAACGCATTGTCCAGCGTGGTGGAGAGGGGGAAAGCTGGACAGGGCGGCCGCGGAGGAGGGAGGAAGAGGGAGCACGCAGAGGCGGAAGACTACCGACCTGAGCGTGCCGGCGCGGCCAGCCCCGTCGGCGGGGACCATGGCAACAACCGGGCCGCAGCGCCGGGGCACCCACGGGCGGTGACGGGGCCCAGTGTGCGACAGCAAAAACCTCAGTGACGCCGTCGGTGAAGTAGGACTAGGTACTTTTGCACGTCAGGAAAAGCGCAGTGAGACCGCCCAGGTGGTAGCCCGAAGCGGTCGTCGAATTGCCACCAAGAGTTACTTGGTTCGGGGCGTGGTGTCGCTTGTATGTGAAGAGCCGCTAGCATCATGGATCTAGTCGGCACGTTCCTTGCTTCGGTGATGTCCTGAACATTTGCACGATGTATTGCATCCTTGCTTGTTTGGCGTTTTTCACAAATGCCCTCCTGCTTGCGTGCGTCCTCGCTTGCTGTTTGCCTGGCTTCTGTTTATCGTTGCATCGTCATCGCGACGTGTCTGTTGTGTCAGTCTATCGCCGCTCTCTTCGCCTGACCGCGATTGCCCCCGCCCCCCTGCAGGAGCTGGAGGAGTTCTTGCCCGCAGTTCGACGATATCGATTTCGATGTCGACAGCGGCTGCAGCGTTAAGAAGGACCCGACGATTGCTGTGGACGTCGACGGAGCCCCATGCACGGGGGACGAAGCCCAGGGATCGACGAGGTCTCCCAGCCTGCAGTCGTCGCAGAAGCGCATTACTTCGCACGGCGACAGCGGCTCTGGCTCATCGCCGTTTTCGCTCGAATCCATCTTGGAGAAGGGCCCAGAGTACGGTCGCGAGTCAGCGCCAGCCGACTTGACCTGCGCGCAGTCGCGCGGCCTGTGCCGTTCTTCCAGCCCAGATCGCAGCCCCACGTTCCGCCTGCAGGTCGCGGAGTTCCTGGTGCCTGGCGAGGGTGCCGCAGCGCCGGACGTGCCCGTCGTGCACGGAGGCGGGCGCGGCCCGCGCCCTCCGGAGCGCAGGCCCGAGCTGAGCGTGGAGGTCGGCGCGCCGGGCGCGCGCGGCGCGAGCGGTGGCGGGCGCCGGCCGCACAGCCCGCGCAGCCCGCTGAGCCCGGCCAGCCCCACCTTCCGCCTGGAGGTCGGGGCGCCGCCGGAGTCGGGCGAGGTGGCCGAGGAGCGGGGGTGCCCGGAGTCCCCGGCGCGCGGCGCGTTCCCGCGGGTGCCGCGGCGGGCGGGCGTGTTCGGGGCACGCGTGCGGCCGAACGCCCAGGCGCAGCACCTCGGGGTCGCGGAGCTCGAGTTCGTGGCGCGCCCAGAGGGCCCCGCCGGCCAGCCGATCGTGGAGCCGGATCGGGATGGGGCTCAGTATTCGGGTCGGTGTATATCGGCAGGTGCGTGTTCTTTGCCTCATTTCTCCCCCCGCCCCTGCTCCCCCCCTTGCCCCGAGCGGCCTGCTTACCCCCCCCTCCCCTCGGGCCCTCGTCCCCCCCCCTCGCCTCCCAGGCCCTCCCCCCCCCCCCTGCACCGCGACGGCCCCCAGGGCCTCTGGCGCACACTGCGACCGAGAACACTCCGCCCGATCCGCCGGATGGTCTTGTCGTCGGGTCCGGCTCAACCAAGATCTCCGACCTCGATACCATAGCCGCGGAAGAGATGAGCATGCTCGAGGTGCAGCCAGCTCCAGCTCCCTGGGGGCGTGTCACGTCATTCGGGCCCATCGCGTTGCAGCCAGGCCTCATCGAGTGCAGGCCCCATCGCGTGCAGGCCCCATCCCTGGGGGCGACGCCTGCAGGCCACATCGCATTGCACTAAAGGTGCGTAGCTTGTTTTGGTTGGCGTCGTTTGGACGCGGACGCAAGTTCTTCCTTCGCCCGCCAGTCGTCGCGGTGCAAGTCGTGTGCCGTTCAGGATTCGGGTACCACGCTAAACACCGTTGGCAGCATCACGTTGGAGCCACGTATTTAGCATCACAAGCTGGACTGCTCGCGCGGTGCACTCTGTTTCGGGCAGTTGTGTTAACAATGGCGAGGAGATCGTGATGCTTTTGGCCGACATGATTGGTGGGCCTACGAGAGTTGTTGGGCTTCGGGCAGTCGTCTAGGTTACCGGCAGGGGCGCGAAGGTCGTCGAGCTTTTTGTGGTATGGATTGCAGAGCAAGCTTTTTCAAGGGGGCGGCGTGAGAGCGTGAACATCGTCTCAAAACGCTTGGCGCAGAATACGAAGTTCGTTGACTTGGTATTTCGACCTGTTCCTCTAGGGGAACGAACAATGACATAAACATAAAAACTCTGAGGCCCGCGCGGGTTTCTCGGATCGGCGCTGGACCCCCTTCCCTGGCGCGGCCCAGGGGTCCCGGCGCCGATCCGAACAATCCGTGTGGACCTCAGAGTTTTTAAGTTTATGTCATTGTTCGTTCCCCTATTGTCCGCATCGCTGAGTTCCCCATGTTTATCGAAAAGACCCTGGCTTCTGTGCAGTCGCTGGTGTGTGGGGTGCGCCTTGGTTTCGTTGCCACATTCTGTCAGGGCGCGCCGCGATTACCGTACTTCCATTGCGATGGGCGGCCGCAAACAAGCTAAGACAGGTCGCAAATCAAGCTTGAACGACTACAGCGCCGAGACCAGTAGTTGCCGTCCCGAAGGCCCACAGGGACCGAGCGGACCTAGACAGGGAGCTCCTGTCCGGTTCCCTGTCATGGACTCGAATGAATTGCGGAGGGGCCCCAAATAGCACTCATTTCGATCAGGTAACATGAGTCCCAAATGGTCCAAAAAGGCGCCAACACAAAATAATCTCTGAGGGACCACGAATGCTTCCAATCAAGCTCTGGACAGGGCCCTTGACAGGAGCTGTTTGCAAGAGTGCCAGATTTTCCGAACGTTGCCACAGAAGGATTGTTCTGGGCCCGATGTGGGCCCACGTGGGGGAGGGGGAGGAGCAAGAGGAGGAACACGTGGCTCAGGGCGTGGATGAGGATGGGCTAGAGGAGGCGGAGGCGCAGGAAGGGAGAAGTCAGAGCACAGATCTGTCTTCTCTAGATATGATCCCGCTGGTTCGGATCTGATTTTATATAACCCCATCCCCGCCGTTTCCCGCCGCCGCCGCTGTCGTCATCGGATGTTGCCGCTGGTCATCTGATATGGTGCAGCTGGTTTTGGCTGCATCTACGTGGCAGAAGGAGCATGTCGCCGTTGTCGTCTGTGGTCGCTAGCCGACCATTCTCCTTTACCATATCCACATCTACGTCTCCGCTCAATGGGCCTATATTTACCCATGCCGGACTCAATGGTAATCCAGCCTACTGAAGAGATGTACCGAATGACGATCGTAGAACAAGCTAACATGCCAATCATAATGTCATAATCTTTAGACCCCCTTGCAAATAATCGGCTACCAGCCGAACGTTATGGGTTTATGCTCGATAACTTCTTGACTAAACAGCCACGCCGAGGTATGCGCTATGTTGCGAATCGATGAGTCGATGATCCACCAGCCGAACTAAGACCCTGAAAGTTTCATTGCTTCGGGTAGGGCTGACTTAGTCAGTCCCATCCCCGTTAATGAACCAGGAATAAACATCATATATATACACATATACATGCATACATACATACATACATACATACATACATACATACATACATACATACATATATACATGTATACATATAGCGACCCGGAATTATCCAATCCAATCGAGTCGGACAGAAATTCTTCACGCTTCGCGTATCCCCACCAGCCCATCTCAAAACAGCAACTCTTGCGAAGCATGCTGACAGTCGTGTTTTTCAGGCGTGTTTCCGCCTGCCCCCGCATATCTTCGGGCCTCTCGTCCTGGTGTGAGTCGTTCGGGCCCTTCTTCCTGGTGTGAGTCGTTCGGGCTCTTCGTCGTGGTTTGAGTCGTTCGGGCTCTTCGTCCTGGCGTGAGTCGTTCGGGCTTCTCGTGGTGTGAGTTGTTCGGGCCCTTCGTCCTGGTGTGAGTCGTTCGGGCTCCTCCTCTTGGTGTGAGTCGTTCGGGCTCCTCGTGGTGTGAGTCGTTCGGGGCCCTCGTCCTGGTGTGAGTCGTTCGGGCTCCTCGTTGGGTCTCCGTGGTGTGAGTCGTTCTCCTCCTGGTGTGAGTCGTTCGTGTGAGCGTCTTGGGGCGTCTTGGGGGCCTCTTGGGGGCCTCTTGGGGGCGTCTTGGGGGCCTCTTGGAGCCTCTTGGGGCCTCTTGGGGGCCTCTTGGGAGCCTCTTGGGGACCTCTTGGGGCCTCTTGGGGGCCTCTTGGGGGCCTCCTGGAGGCCTCTTGGGAGACTCCTGGGGGCCTCTTGGGGCTATCTTGGGGCCTCTTGCGACCTCCTCAGAAGCGCAAATAAACGCTGACCCCTGAGAAGGACAAAATGAGCCCAAAACCTTCGTAAAATCAATGATATTGCTAAGAAGGAAGAGAAACGCGGGCCCCTCAGAAGGCAAACATGGAGCCACAACCTTAGTAAAATCAATGTTTTTTGCTTCAACGACGAGCTGAGGCGCCAAACTGCCTCCCTCCCTCGGGGCCAGAATCCTTGTGAGGGTCGTCGTTTTTTGGCCCTCCCAGGCGTCGAAAAAGACTCCCCTGACGACGCTCGGGACTCCCTCTCCAGGTCCAGGGGAAGGGGGTAGGGGGAGGGGTAAACCCCTCCCCGAAGGGGAAGAAGTGGGGTTGAGGACAGAGCGGGCTCTCTAAACCACTCACGCCCAAAGGGCTGGTGGGATTTGTTAAGAGACAGTCGCGCGGTTCAGCGGGCGGGATTGCCGTGTCAAACGGGATTTCAACCAACGCTGGGAGGATTCTGCGAGATGAGCGGGGCGGCACACCCAGGGATGTCTTAACCATTCCCCAGGTATTTCGCCACCGGTCTAATCGAATTGCGGAGCATCTTGAAATCTCCCACTCCCCATTTGACAGGTTGAACCTTCGTGAGCCTGAATCACCTGAGCAACCGGAACACTTGAGGGAGCCAACGGAGGAAAGAACCTCCCCGAACAAACCGAAGGGGGCGATATGAAAACAGTATGGAGGCCGATGGGTCACCAATGCAGATTTCCGGCATTACCGGGGGTCCAGCAGCGGTGTCACACTACCCCATGGTTCGTGGATTCGATGGGGCAGATGTGAAGTTCTCTGGGTTGACGGATTCAATCTGTCAAGGCCAAGAAACGGAAAAAACGAGGACAGACGCAAACGTCGTGGACAGACGCAAACGTCGTGCCTCTTCCTCCGATATCGCCCCTTCGCGCTGGACGTGCGAAACTCGGGGCGCCCATGTTAGGTCATGCCAGGTCGAGGAGCACCCGCGGTTCGAGTAGCTTTTTCTAGGCCATCTTCAATAAGAAGACGTTTGATCCTGGTGAGTTCTTGGTCCCAAGGACCTAACTGCCCAGCGGCGTCGGAGATCCGGTGCCCGGGCGAGGTGGGACAGGAAATCGGCCATTGTCGTAGGCCTGCTTGTGGGGCGTTTTTTAGCGCGCGTAAGCACTGCGGTGTCAGCTTGCTCTGGCCAGGCTGTCTTGGTATTCAAGAACACACTTGTCAGCGCATGCGAACTCTTGCATGGCTGTGGACAGATCAAGAGAAGGCCGCTGCAGAATACAGGTACCACAATGAGCAGGCGGTCGCTCAGATGAAGATTCTGAAGGAAACGCCTGAGCGAGAGAAAAATGCACGTCATCAACAGATGCGAAGAGATAAAGTGCGACTGATGTTGATGGCGCAAGCGAGGCAGCTAAATTGATTATGCAGGAAGCTGAGCACGAGAGAGCAGACGCCGATGATATAGCTTGTTGGGCAATCGTGGAGGAAGGAAAGAACACGGCCGGAAAGGCGGCTGAAAGGCAAACAGACGCAGTCAGCGTTAACAAAGGCCCGAGTGGCCGTTGCGATCGCCGAGCAGAAGGTGCTGGAAGTCCTCTGTGAACGGGCGGCCCAGGCTGCCAACGCTGCGCAGCAATAAAACAAGCGAGCACATTCTGCAATCCAGCAGGCGTCGCTGCGGGGGCAAGCCGCCGTCGACGAGGCGAGAGAGGTCCGGGAAGATATGATCAAACAGGAAAGCGCACCAACCAGGTTGGATTTGTTCCGCGCTGGACATGCCGGGGAGTGCTTGGGGCAGCATGGGGGGCCGAACGCGTCGAGGGATCAGCCCGCGGCGCCGGGGGGGTTCTCCTGTCACCCAAGAGCGCAGAACAACCTGCTGGGCAAACTCTGGGGCTGAGCCTTCAGCGTCGCCCCCGGAGCATCTGGGCCCGTTTTGGACGCGCGTCGTGAGATCTCACTGTCTTTGCCGTAGTGCGCGGCACGGCGAGGAAGGGCAGCCAGATTGGCATGCTCGTTTCGGATGATTTCCCGCCGTTGCATGTCCGGTATACGTCCCCCCTGAATCGAGATGCCGCGAGGCCACGTCCGGGGCCGCCGTGGCTTCGGGGATTTCTTCGCGGTGGCCCGAGAGTCGCGCTGCGCCCCCTTCAGTTCGCTCGAGGGCCTTTGCGTGGCGATTGGCCGAGGGTCCGGCGCTGCCTGACCTGCCGCTTAGAAGTCGGAGCAGATTTACACGCGCATTCTGAACGGCCGCGCAGATTCTCAAATGCCAGAGTTCCCCGCGGAAGAAGTGCGCGAGAGGGCCGCGATCGAGGCGAGCTCGGCTTCCGCGCCGCTGGATGGCGCAGCTGAAATCTCGCGGGGGCGCGCGCCCGGGGCCGCGGATAGATCAATTGTTCGCGCGCCCGCAGACGATGGCGAAGTATTTGGCCATCGTGCCCCGCCGCCGCCCCCGCCCCCCCCGGCGCGGCGACGCGGGCCGCTGTTGATTTTGGCCCAGATGCCATCTCTTACAACGAGGGCCCCAGGGGCCCGAATTTGGTTGGGATGCCTGTGGGCGCAGATGGTCA